TTTCACTGAGCTCGTTAACCTTCATTTGAAGACACATTAAACAAAAATATGCACATCTTTTGCCAACATCTGCAAGAAAATCATTGAATATCTAATTTTCAGTTAGGTAACAAGCTGAAAAATGAAAGTCTCACTGAGCCTCTTATGCCTCGCAGCCGTGCTTTCATCTCCGCGTTGTAGTGTCGCAAAACCAGGTTACTACTATCTGAATTTGTTAGTGATTTCAGTGTATCCTGCTCTTTCTACAGAATGCTAACCAAATGTGAAAAATTAGCTCTGCAGCCATCTCGCATTTCGTTGTTAGGATAAATCCTTGCTAACAGTTGATTTCAAATACCCCAAATTCATGGAGGAATCGCCGAACACTTGCTGTCGGGGTGTTCCAAAGATGCTGTTTTAGAACACTATAATATTTTAAGGTACGTCGTTGTGATCCTACGTTCTTATTAAACAGTTGGGTAATTGATTAATAGAGCTGAATAGAAGAAACGAATCAGGAGAAATTTCACAGTCACTAAACAAAGCCGATTCCCTTCTCCGTATCATTTCAGCAACTAGAAGAAGAGTAGCTCAAAATCAAACTCCATAGTCTGACTAACATTCTTTTTACTTTTTGTCACCAATCCGACTGCTTCTGTTGAACGTTTGGTCAGAAATAATGCACATCTCATGCAGAATCTCTGCCGAAGGCACACTGGTTTTCTTAGTGAAAAAGTCTGAGCCACCGTTTTTATTTTTGATGAGCAGACACGAGTTTTTTGCCAACTATCTACTCACAGTGGGTGATGTTGCAGCAGTTTCGCCTTCTTCAAAGCGTGGAACGGTCGAAGTGAAACGTGCAATGTGTTGTGTCAAACATCTTCAGAACTTCGCCAGGAAATCTTGATATAGTCATATCTACCTGCTCATTAAACAGCCCTCATTTAGCACCTAACGCTCTGCTCTTTTGAGTGCTCTAATTATTTACTGAAAGCCAATAGCCTAATGCGCAACACAGGTCAAGATGCATGCTTGCCAGGTCAGAAAAACTAGCCTGGGGTGTGGTGTGAGGTCACGCGTGATCAGGAAACACTTCTTCTTGAGGATCATCTCTAGATTTCCGATATTTATCCGAAGTACGTAAACTTTTCCACGCAAACGTGTTAGATCCTTCTACGAAGTTACTTTTACTCCAAATCCTCCCTCCTTATGTTTTGGTGCCTCGTGAGTGATTCGTGGAGAGCTTTGCTGTGATTTTAGGTCCATTAACTAAATGTTTTTGTGTACGGACACAGAACGGTCTAAGCGCTTTGCCAATGTATTCATTTCCGTATGCTCCAGAGAAAAAAATCGCATCCAAGCTAATGCAATCGTCGTCTCCATTGTCATGGCATATTTTAAAATTAAGCATTTTCGATAGGCATCAGTGAGCCACATATCGCTTCTATCCGAGGTGAAGCCAAAGATAAGAATTAAAAAAATCAAGAAAAGAATTAGGCCGAGCTTGATCGTACGAGCCTTGCATAGTTGGTCATAATTCCACCCTCTGGCGATCACCACAGGAGAACTAACGGTTGTAGAAAGGGGAAAAATGCTCAGGTCAGCTTTTGCCAGCAAATTAGAGAAGAATAAGAGTTTTATGGCACAAGTGTTTTATATTTGCTTATCTTCAAAGTGAAAATCGCAAACCCTCAACAATTCCGTGCATCATGCAAGTCGTGTTCCTTAAAATTGGAAAGTTGTAAAGCATTGAGCTCTTCTTTTCTCAGGGACTCGGAAGAATTTTTCATGATTATATTCCAGTGCGTCTAATAAGTGTCTTTTGCCAAAAATGATTTATTGTTTAGATCAGCCGAGCAGCTTGAAAGGAAATCCGGCCAGACAGTTTAGATTCTTCAACAGCTCTCAATTGATCAAATTTTCGTACTTTTATACAATCGGCTATCACCATTTAGTCTGTGCAACCCACCACTTCTTGCATTCGAATTATTTCCTCGCTTTCATCCTTCACAAAAGTCTCTTGATTATTTCACGTACTGCTTCGGCTGTCGCTCGAGGACTTCGTCTTTTTAATGAATGTCGTGGAAAGCTGGTAGAGACGATTCCCTGTGCTACCTTCGAGGTAGCCGAATTAAGGTGCTCTCTAAGGCCTTCGCTGCATCGCAATAGTAAAACGAGCCTCTAATTGTGAGCCTGCTTCGTGATAAACCACATCACTGACGCATTGTGCTACTCCCTCTCTGAATGGTCAACACGAATATTTATGTTCATATACTATTGATACTATGTAAACAGCTAAAACTTACCGACCTTAATGTTTTTCATAATAGTCGATGTCGCTATAAGATTACCGCCAATTTTTTCAGAACTCCTTCCTCTCTAACTCTAACGCAGTTCGAGACAGCTTTAGAAATTGGATTAACGAATTACGGTGTTGAGGTTAATGAGGTACCACGTTTGCCACAGGACAAATCAAGTCCTTCATATCGTAACTTCAGACGAAATGCAGGGCTCTACTAGATGGATTCAAAGAGAAGCATACGCTGTTCATACGATCACTCACTGAACTGCCCGTTAAACTGACCGCTTTGATTGCAGAATACACGAAAATTGCAGACGACAAGGTTTGAAAAGTCATTAGAAGATGTACTTCATAAACTACATAACTCATGAATTGCTTGCATTTTAGCTCTCTCAACAGATTTATAGCTTCGTGTCTTTCGATCCCTCCTGTTTGAACCTTTGATCGTCCTCAAAAATTTAAAGTCTCTGAGACATTCAGAGAAAAAAGAGGATATAGCATTATAGAGAGATTTGCTTCCACAGTATTTCGCAACTTTAGAAATAGGTGGTCAAAGGACCTTGCAAAAAGTTGGAGAAATTTGCATGACGATGGACGAAAAGCAGAAGGCGGTTGTGTTATCTATTTTCCAAATCTATTCGATGGATATGAAAGGATAACCAGCGACATTAGGTCACAGTAGAAATTCAACGATTTTCTAGAGAATTTTGTATCCTTGGTATTTGGTAATACATGAGACATTGTTTAGGGAACGGGAGTTTACCAAGAAATGGGAATTCCCTTGAGACAATGCAGGATTCTGTGGACTCAAAGAAACTCACTGAATGACCATTGTCCACACTAAATTGAAAGGCAAATACTTGATTTTCGCACTGACCAGACGGAATTATTCTATCTGTGCTCAGCCATATTTTTGACAATAGATTAGCATTACTTTTTCACCGCGTATTTGTCATTAATTCTCCAACAACGGCCAAAGTACTCCTTGTTATAGATAGTTCTGGCGTTTGTGGACCTGTCTGGAAATGAACTCTTCTGTCATAGGGAAGAATATTCTACAGAGATCAGAAAATCCAGAATTTTCTAGCTATACAAAAGAGACTTTTTGTTAATGATTATGATAAATTTCTATATATGCGGTAAGAAGCTCCGTTGTCATGACAGTATCTTTTTGAACGAAAAAATTAGCAGAGAAATTCGAAGATCCCCACAGTTAAAAATGGACTCAGTATTTATGGCAAAATACCCCATCTAAGAGAGAGGATTTGTAGATTGAAAATTCTAAATCTTTCAACCTTTGCGCTAGCTTAGTATAACTGTATGTGAAAAGGAAAGGCATGAAACTTGTGTTGTGACAAATCGTTCTTTAAAACATGTAAAAATGGAGTTGGCAGTGATCGAAGTTTTAGATCGTTGGAACTGACACTTAACAATAAATGTATAAGCAATTATAATGTTGCTAGAAAAATATACATTCAATAGTGGCTAATTCTTTTAACGCGTTTCTCCTTCTTCACAGCCTGAAAAACTCAAACTGAGGCGTCGTCTATAAAACAGGCAAACACTTTCGTAATCTCAGCAAAAAAAAAACGCATGTGCAAGTTCTAGTTTGCTGCCTGAATCGCTTTTTGAACACTCGTCGCACTGTTTTCCAAGTCTTAAAGTTATTCATTGTATGCAAGTTGCACAGGATTTTTACACGAGTCACCAACTTGTTTGGCCTCGGTCGAATGAAAAATCAGCCTTAGGTATAGCACGAGGTTAGCCGTGACGATAAGACTTTCTATTGTTCGCTTCTCATTTGAAAACTGTTCGAAAGTTTGGAACGTTCATTGCGCAGATGATTCGCAAGCAGCAGCTGTGATTACGGAAGATTCCATACATCAAGTTGAGTCTTTAAACCCACCCAAACATACTCCCCATTCATGCAAAACTGTACAACTCTGTCCACCAAACGAGTGCAAGACTTGCAAAGAATAAAACAGTTACTTTTCAAATGAATCTGCCTAATGCAAATAAAAGTTATGTGCGAAATTTCATCGGCTAATGATACAGAAGCACTTGGCAGAATAAAGTGAGCGTTAATGTGACCTTACTAGGCTCTTAGTAGAAAACAGAATCTTAGAAATGGGAGCTACTTTGAATAATGAGCCATATCATTGCCATTTCTTCTCATAAAAAAGAGAAAACCATGACACATTAATCACAATAGAAGATAGTAAGAAGTCGCTCCTATGATTTGCCTTCTTTTGTTTTTATTCTGAACTTTCGCTATTCTTTGGTGTCTTGTGTGTGCTCATTGAAATATTCTGTTTGAGTCGACGACCTAATTACTCCCTTGTACTGATGTCGAGTGAGCTACCCGTTTTGTCTACCCATTAGTCCTATCGAATCTAAATACATTATGCGGTACACTACCTTTCTCTATTGGCCAGTTTGACCAATTCAGACTTTGTACGTTGTCTAATTCGAGTCGAACTGACGCAGAAACCAGTCAACGCAACCATTCCATTGCACTAACTAACACATATGACTCATTGAACAGTCTGACCATTGTTACTATTCTAATATTCTACTGCATCAGCCAATTCGATCTTGAAGGAGCAAGCAACACTAACGAATCAAGCAATAGCACGGGCAACTTCAAAGCGAGGAACTTACGTACAAAACGACACACGCCTGACCACCCACCGGGGAGAACAAATCACACGAGGTTCCAACGTTGGTCGTTCAGGGGTAGAATGTTTGCTTATCACGCGGACGACCAAGGTTCGATGCCTGGCCAATGCACCAGTGTGTTGGCTGTGGTGATGAGTGGGTTGGAATGATTTTGCTCTATTGGCGATTGCACTAGTACTTAGACTTTGATGTCAATTGCGAGTGAAAATGTCTTGTGTGCCGTTTGGTCACTTGACTGCATTGATTATTCCTACCACGCGGGTCTTTTATTATCTATTTGATGACGAACAGTGTTGATTCTGAAATCAATGAACAATATTAAGCGTCGTAGCGAATAGCCTAAAATATACAATAATTACAACAACATCACAATAATAACAACCACGACATGTAGAGAGATGATATTATAACATGATGGGGTGCAATGGATGTAACCTAAGTGTATGATGCCCCGAATCTCAGATCTTTAGATGAGTGAGAAGAGCCACACTATATATAGAGCAGTAACTATACACCTAGGCAAATTACACGACATCGTGGACTATCTTAAATTTGAAATAGTGAGCAAACAAAGCAAAACGATGTGATCGGCTGTTGGCGGCTATGTTAGGGCATCTGTGGCGAATGAACTGCCGTGGGGGTGACTTTCGTCCAGTTATCCTGCAGGTGTTAGCCTGTAACTAGCTAGCAAACACAGTTCGGTGGCCAGCTCCAAAGCGAAAAACCAGTTATCTGTGAGCCGAAGACACAGTTACAATTACTTTTGCTTCTTTATAATGGTTATAAGCTGCTTCTTCAAGGTTCATACTGTTCATTTGGGGCTTGCCGGCTTGCCTCGCTCGGCTGCTCAGTTGGTCGTTTCAGCCGTTCGCTTGATTGCATTGTCGTTTCGTTCGACAGTTGGGGTTGGCATACTGGCGTGGTCTTATATTATGCCTCGTACGGATATCTCGCCTTGATGTCTCCTTCGGCTGTCGCGTTTGGTATACCGATAAGGTCTTATCTTATGCCTCGCTTAGGTTTTTCGTTTGTATGCTTCCTGTGTGGAGTTTAGTCAGTACACCAGAAAGATGATGATTGGCCGACTTAAATTGGTTGATGCAGCAGTATATGGAAGTCTCAGCAGCGACGCAAGATTGAATATATTTAGGCTGATGAACTAAATGTAATGGAAATTACGGAGTACAAAAACCCTAGCACACTGGAACACACGCACACACCAATAAAGAATTAATAAGTATTTGGGAACAGTTACAATACGCCCCACCACGCCTTACAAAAGACCAGGTAACTCGTTTCGAACTCATATAATCACTGGCTCTACCACTAAGGCAAATTACAGAGATTGTTACGAAAGCATATAACAAGACCTTTCAATCGATTATCTTGAGACTTACCTCAGAAATAATCGAAACATTGTTTTGAGCATTTTAGAGGTCTGGTGAAGGCATCTCTAGTGGTATACATAAGTATCGGCATATTCCCGCGCTACTCATTAGTATCACATGGCATTCGGTTGCACGTTTCTACAGTTAGTGGGAATCGTAGCCGAGGAAGTATCATTCCACGTCAGGTAAAAAGTTTACTTGATGTGACGTTCTTTCAGAGTGATTGATTGTCGACTGCACGGTTTATAGCTGTTGCGGAGCTTATGTAACAGAATCATTCAATTCAATAACATTGATTCGATTACCTTGAGATCTCCTGAATTTTCAGTATGATATGATACAATGTCTTGAGCCTTTCACAGATCTGGTAGAGCCGAAACGTACGTATACCACTCAAATGTCTTTATCAGAGCCCTAAAGCGGTCAATCACCTTTGACCGCAGCAAGTGATCATTTCACTTTGTCTAGAGCGATACATCTTCGGCGGCGCTACTATCAGTAGTAGGAGTGAGACGTAGAATATGTGACACTGATGAGGCGTGTGAGTAGCACCGAGACGTACGTATACCACTTGAAATGCATGGCCAAACCTGTGTAAGGTTCGAATCATTCTTCCAGACTAGACAGATTTGTGTTGAATTTGGATTATCACACTAATAGTTATGGGCTAACTGACTGTGCACAGTGCTTATTCGTACCACTGCTACCGCATTCTCCTTCTCCAGTTGAATGAAGTAAAGAACTCGAAGATCAAAAAATGCTGCGTCCACGTTCACGCAGATTCAATCTTAAAATCTTATGATTTCATTAAATATGAGCAAGCGCCTGTTGCAGTACGGAATCTAAGCTTCACTCATATAACGGATCGTCTATTCAGTATTTATTAGAGCGACATCAACAATACTTCCAAAATCTCCCATCATGTTTTCTCTCTTCTGGAAAAAAAGCCTTGTGATCGTCATGGTCTTAATCCTTTTGCAACTGCAAAAAAAAAAACTGAATATATTTGAAATTACCGATAATGTGGCAAATCTCCCACGTCAACGAATTACTGAGTCATGCATGGAATTTCTATATCCGTCTGATCAGTCCAGCTTTGATTTTTTTTTACAACAATCCCTCCACCAAAATAAAAGCGTTCACTTCCGATCATTCTATGCTGTAATTGTAGCCAATCACGTCCAAATACTATAACAAAGTGCAACTAAAAGGGAAATTACGTGATCTCTGCAGACGAAGCAAACAAATTGTGGGTATTTTTCTGCCAATAATTACAGGAAATTTCTCAAATTCTAACTTCTTTTTAATCTTCTAATTTTCAATCAAGAAGCGAAGTGGAAGATGAGAGCCTCACTTGTCCTCTTATGCTTGAGAGCCGCGCTTTAATTTCCTTGTTGCGTTGCGCAGAACCAGGTTACTATAATCTCTAAGCTGCAAACTAAACTTAGTTCCCCTATTCCTCCGACAGAAGGCCTACAGAAGGTGGAAGAATAGGTTTTGGAACTGTCTCATCAAAAGGCAATTTAAGATACTACTTCGTTGTTAGAGCAAATCTGAGCTGAGAACTGATTCATATTCTCCCAAGTCATGAAGATTTCTCAGATGACTTGCTGTGAGCGTGCTCAAAGGATGCTGCTTCAGTTTATCGTGAAATCAATAAGGTATATTAAGAAGCTTCTATATATCTGTCATAGGATTGGGCACTTGATGGAAGTGTATTTATATTAGCATAAGCAAATTGGAAGAAATTCTTCAACCAATGTAAATAAGAGTGATTGCTTTCGCTACAGCGTTTTAGCAGATAGGTTACGTTTCCATGACACCGGCGAAAAATCCGGATTTTGTGTTTGTTTCACGTTCACGTATATTACAGTATCGGCAGTTGTAAATTCATAAGAGAATCTCTCCAATATTTCCGTCAGAAACTCCCACAGCATCGCTACTTATAGTGCAACAAATTTGATTTGCTCTCTGAATATCAAATGATCAAGATGGACAAAATTGAGCTTCGAGTTTGATAGCTATTGTTGGAAGCGATTGCATTTCGACAGCAGACGCTACGAAGGAGATCTTTGGCTCTGAAGGTGAAAGAACTGTGAACCATGTGGTTGATGCAAAGTGGCACAAACGATTTGAAAGTGCCGAGCTCAGCTCGAAGATTAACTTCATTGCGGCCGACCGTTGAAATTGGACGATGGAGATTTACAAGCAGCTTTGATGCGGAATCATCATCACTTGCACTCGTGAATTGACATCAGAACTTAGCGTCGATCGAAAAGCGGTCCGATAACAAGAGTTAAAGAAAACTAACGGATATTATTTTGGAAAGCACGTGCTGTTTTAGCCAGCCAATATTCTACCTCACTCATATTGCAAAAATTTCTAAGAAAAAGTCTGGCGAGTTGAACGGAGTCGAGATATTGCCGCACCCAGCCTACAGTCCAGATGCTACGTCGTTCGATTATGGTCCGATTACGCTCAATGGAACATTTCTGCGTTAACGCCGATTCGAAACATTTGATCAAGTTGAAGAGATACGTCACGATTTTTCCGATTCAAATCCCGAGTAATGCTAGTTCGCAGATCCGCAAGCTTGAAGATCGCTGATAGTAATGGTCTTTATTTTGAAGAATAATTGTATTTGCTTTTGATTGAATTTATGTATGAACTTTGAATTCCGCGATGTTAAGGTACTTTTCCTCAACATAATAAATTCAATTTTGCATCCATTCTTCGTTTCATGTCACCAATCTCGCTTTGTTGAATATTTTGGCTTGAAAAATAGTCGGTTCTAACAAGCAAATTCTCTACCAAAATATGCTAGTTCCTTGCGTGAATAATTTCTGTGCCACTGTTTTTTCTTGCTGAACAATATGGATTGCAGAGGAAATTTTGCTTAATCTTTTTGTGAGCTCAGGATGTTGATTTTTATTTTACGACATTTTATGACAGCAATAAAACTCGCGACTAGCCGTAAGGTTAAGCACCCCAAACCTTCCTTCGAAAGCATATAAACGTGCAAAGAAAACCTTGGAATACCAGCGTCGCACAATTTATAAAATTTTTTTCTCAATTTAGAGAAGAAAGTTGAAATTTAGTAATGGAAACCGTGCCACATGCGAATCTCTCGACGAAAATGATCCCACGCGCGGTCGATACACTCTAATTCAACCATCCTAGCCGACAAGAAATGCGTACCGAGTGAAATCTTAATTCAATATTTTCTACTACACTACACTAAAAAAGTATTATAGAAACCAAGCACAGTACAGAAATCGTCAGGATCTAAACTTTGATAGTGCAAAAAAGTCTGTTTACAATCTTAGCCCAACATAAAGGCCACTGCATAAAATGCTCCCTGATAGGCTATTGCATCAGTTATCAATTAGTTATGATGTATAATTTCGCGAATAGATCCAAAATTCGTGAGGAATTTGAATATAATCGCATTTTATCCACAATTAGCAGTGAAAAATCGCACGTCGCCAAAGGCGTTAGAAAATGTTCGGTGTTGTGGCTGCCAGTGCTTGTCTTAAACGCTATAGTGGATTTTACTAAAATATGCCACTATTATCACAGATATTATTTTATTCAACCGCTCTAGTGTTGGCATAATGTTACGATTATATACCCAATAATGATGAGTGATGTGGAAGACATCGAATTTCAGACGGCATTTGAACCATCGATCCGCTAGAACACCTCCCCAGTCGCCCGCTCATG